TATTGTTATTAAATAAACCTAAATGAACTGCCTCTTGTAGAGTGGAACTTGTCTTTACAATTAGTTAAAGAAACTTTTCTCTTAGACACTGCTTCTTAAAGTAACTAGATAGCTATATCGCTGTTACTTATAGTATACTAAGAAGGCTACGCTATCTGTAACAATAGTCTTTATCACTTAATAATTCAATTATTTTATGTATCTGATCTTTATTATTATTTTTATATATAGTTTCTCTATTTTCAAGAGAGTTGTTAGCTACCTCAGTTCTAATATGTTCAAAATCTAACTCTTTATTTATATAAAACTTATATTAACTATTTACTGTAGTATTCACTTGCTCAGTAGCTATTTCTTTATACTGAATATCACATTTGAATTCAACTTTTTCTATTTTTGTATTTTTTAGAAAGCCAACAACAGTTCTAAAAAACTATATAGTACTCATAGACTATGGTATAGTTTGAGTAGAAAACTATTAGGTCATAGTATAAGTTTTAGTAATATAAATACATATAGCATTAAAGTATATTTTATATTCTTTGGTTTTATACATAAAAGCAAATTATTAAATAGAATTTTATTTAACTCTTTATTATAGTTTTGAGTATTATATAAAGAACATATTTTTTTTTAGTTTTATTAATATTATAAGTTGAATTGAAGAAGCATCTAATTTTAGTTAAATACTATTTAATATATTTATCATAGTATTTTTATTAATAGTACTTTAAAGAGGAGATAATTTTATAAAGGATAAGAATCTTGTGCCACTTTCATCAACTTTTTTTTTTTTTTTTGTTATTAAGGCAGCTTACATTGCCAAAGGAATTTAATTAGAATTGTCAACGGGATTATATATTGATAATCCCTACTGTTTGTAATTACATGAAGAGTATACAACAAGCCATACGTACAACTTTAGTTATTGTCTAATTTAAGTAGTCTGCTGCACAGATGATTAGACCACCTGATTAGTTCTACACTATGCTACTATACCTGTAACCTGCCTATGAGTTATCTATTTAAATACTCTGTTCATTTACCCATACAGATCTAACCTAATGTTACCGCAATACCTAACTGCTTAAGCTAGCTAGCTTGTTACAGATCCATTTATTCAGAATAGCTTAGGTTCTCTTAAGATAAATTGTACCTAATATATTGTAGATACTGCAGAGCCAGTTAACCTCGAAGCATATCTACTAGAATGGTCTGTACCCATTTTACGGATTCACCTAATTTAGATCCTTGTAGATGTTCATACAACCTCAGTTCCTACTGTAGCTCTCTACCAGTTTTCTGTTTACTCCATTTCAGTTCCAGTGATCATCAGAAAGAGTTGAGTTGAGATGAATTTTTTTATATTTAATAAAGTTTTTTTTTAAAATAAAGTATAATTTAATTTTAAAATATATTTATAAATAATTATATAATATAATTAATTATAACGATTTATTGTTATATTTAATAAAGTTTTTTTTTAAAATAAAATATAATTTGATTTTAAAATATATTTATAAATAATTGTATAATATAATTAATTATAACAATTTATTATTATAGTCTGGTGATCTTAGTGTAGTGGTTAGATTGTCAGACTACCATGCAAGAGGTCTAGGGTTCAAATTCTACTGTCGATGAATTTGAATAATTACCTGGACCTTTGTACTCAACTTATGGTAAACCCTGTCTGTTTCTGAAGTTGTAACTCTATAAATCACATTGCATCAA